TCCAGCCAAACGGGAAGCGAAAGGGAGAGGGGGTGGTGTGAGCTTTGGAGGTCACACCCCAGCTCCCCATGCATTGATGTACGCTTGAAAAAACCATCTCAGGCAGGCGCCGGCGTGACGTCACTGCCTCCTTGCAGTGGGAATTCGTGCACTTCCCATGATTGAGCTGCCGCAGCCCGACCGGAGAGCAATTTCCTGGCGCTGTGGTGGTGGTGGTGACCCCTTGGCCCGGACCTCCCCGTTCATGCGTGAAGCTCTTCACGGAGTTGCCGCAGCCGGCTGAGCCTCAGGGGCTGCTCCGTTTTGCTCAGAACCTTTTGAAGCAGCTGTAAAAGTTACAGCCGGCTCGGTGGCTGGGGAAATCTTGGCACGTGGTTTCCATACTGGTGAAGGAGCAGAGCCACAACCATGCTGTCTGGGCATCTCCTCACTTTGCGGATGCTTTATGCATCGCTGCTCTCTCGAGGAGCCAAGAAGGGGGCACAAGGGGACGGTGGCCCCGATGCCACAGCTGGTTCTGTCACCGCATCGACCCGCAGTGGAGGGGGCTGGTGTCTGCCAAGGGCAAAAAGGGATCAGATTTTAATGTTTGCAGAAGGTTTTGAGACACGGTGTACGGGGCAAAGTACAAGTTGCTTCAAGCGCAAGAGCAAAGAAATGTTGGGCCAGGTTGTTCCTGATCGGCTGGGGGGGTTGGTGCTCGTGCCCGGGGACGTGGTGTGTGGTGGTGTTGATGCTCGTGCCTGGGCACGTGGTGTGCCAGGGCTGGGGCTGGCCCAGTCTGGTTTTGTGCTGAATGGGGATCCTGATGGTTCCCTCACCCTGCTGAGAAGCTGGTTTGGCTCATCTCAGTCTTGCTGATGCTGAGCATTGGCTCTGAGTCAGAGGATGCTGTTGTCCTGGAGCCCAGGGTGGACCTGTCCTCTGCTGAGGACTCACATGGTCACTCTAAATACACCAAAGCCATGACGTTTGCTGGGGCTGTGATTTCTGTGGGATGGGAGGAGGGATGCTCCTTCCCTTTGGAGGGCCCCTGTGGATGTTGAAGTGCTCCCAGCCACCACCGGCTGCGGGACCTGCTGGGGTTGAGCCTGAGACAGGAGCAGCTCGGAGACACAGCTCGTGGATTTCGGTTTACAACCAGCTCCATGTAGCCTGGAAGCTGTGACCCATCATGCTGGTGCTAAGAACTTCCTAACTCAGCCCTTACAAACAGCTGATGGGGCTCATGCTCTGATCTTGCCCTGGCACCTCTCCGAACAGCCGTTCCCCAGCGTGTGTCTGGCTCCAGCCGCGCTGGGGCTTTGCTGAGGCAGGACACGGCCCTTCCTGCCCAGGAAACGCACGGTGGGTGTGTGACCTGGGGAATTCTGCCTTTGAAAAGAAAAATTAAAGGAAGAGACAAAGCAGAGCCGGGATCCCTCAGCCATGGGCAGCCGTTTGTGGGACTGAGCTGTGGCGTTGGCAGCACCCGCCTGCCCCGGCTCTGCCCTCACTGCCCAGCTCAGCTGCCCGGGCACCGCTCAGCCGCTGGGGTTGAACAGGTCCGGTGGTTTTGAGGCAAATATCAACCTGGGGTTTGGCTCCATTGGCAGCTCCGTGGCCTGGACTGAGTCCCAGGGCTGTGTCTATCCGCTGCCTCAGTGCTGGGGTGAGGGATATGGGTGCTGTGTGCTCGGCCATGGGCTGTACCCACAGCTGGGAGAGCATCAGGCGAAGCTCTGGGCTGTAGCAGTGCTCTTTAAATTCCCACCTCAGTTATTTGTGCATCATCTCTCATCTCCACCTGCTCCTTTCAGTATCTGGACAGTTGGGTTGAGATGAGGGATGAGCTCTGCGGGGTCATCCTGAGCTCAGCACCTCAAGCCCCCTCCCCATGTCTTGTCTTTGCAGGAGATGTGCTCTTCCAGATGGCAGAAGTCCACAGGCAGATCCAGAACCAGCTGGAGGAGATGGTGAGTGCCCCAGCTCCCCACCTGCCTGGGCTCTGCCGGTGCCACAGCCGAGCAAAATGGTTTTCCATGTTTTGACTGGGTGATACCAGCCCCTCTGAAGTGGATTTGCTGAGCTGCAAAAGGTCTGATCTGCTCAGGCATCTGCTTCTGCCCCACTGGGTCCCTCTCTGAGCGTCTGTCTGTCCCTCACTGCTGTCAGCCCCTGCTCTGGCTCTGCAGCCCCTCTCCCCTGCCTGCCCTGCTGCTCCCCAGGCTGGGTTTGCCAACCCTCACCAAGGAACTGTGTTTTCTCTTCCCACCTGCAGCTCAAGTCCTTCCACAACGAGCTCCTGACACAGCTGGAGCAGAAGGTGGCGCTGGACTCCCGGTACCTG